ATGAAACAGTCGAAATCACATTACCAGTAAATCAGGCGAGTTATACCGTAGAAACTTGTGATGATAGAACAGCGCAAGACACTCCATATTCTCTAGGATTTTGGTTACAAATTCAAAGCGCAGAAGATGGGTATGTGTCTGTCGAGACGGTACGCCACTATGGGAGTTACGTCATCGCTTATTATAATTTACAACAAAAGGAGATCGATCAAGACACTAAAATTTCCGTTCACAATTCGTGTAAAAATGAGCGCATCCCTGACTCTCCAGTTGACTGCGATATTACTAGTGATGATGTCGACGACTACATTTTATCGTCTTTAGTGCTCTTCTCTGTCAAACAAAACGTTCCAAAATACGTCTTCATATCAAAGCCTTTTAATGAAGAGTTTTCAATGGACCTTCCAGTGGTCGTCACACACATGACCAGTTCTTGTGGTGTTTTTTACCAAGAAATTTTATGGAACGACATCATCTTAAAAAATGGCACTAAAGTGTTTTTATCGGACAGAATGTTGAAAGCGAGTGACGCTTGTCTCCCATATGACGAGCTTGGCAAGTGGTTTTTAGTCCGTGGAGTAGATCAGTCCATATCAATTTCTACCTGTGACAGTCCACCTGGAGTTGAAGTTGGGTTTAATGTTATAGCAATAGATAACACTGAAACCATTGACAAGACACTTTCATGTGGGCGTGACAATGCAAATGCGCAATGTGTAACAATTGGAAGTAAGACGTGTGGAACTTCTGATTTGGAGCATTCGGCTGCAGTGGTCACATTAAGTCCAACCAAAAATTACTTCATCTTAGTCACCACTTCATTTAAAATGCCAGTGACTATTACATTGAGTGTTAATGCAGTATGTCCAATGGATTGTGGAGAACATGGGATATGCAGTACATCACAACAAAAGTGTATATGTGATGCGGGGTATGTCAATAAGAATGGGGTGTGCTCTTTATGTGGAAATGGGAAGTACGACAGTGGATATGAAGAATGTGACACCTCAAATTTCAAAGACGTTTTATGTGATTCAGATACGTGTATGTGCTTTGATGGGTATTCTCCAAAATCCATTTCTGGAATTACAAAGTGCTCTCTGAGTACATGTGGTGACAATGAAATTGGAATGGGCGAACAATGTGATGGTGGTGTAGGTTGTGATCATTGTGTATGTGACACATCTTTAGGGTATCGAATGTTTCAAACACCGCGAAAATATTGTTTGTCTTCCAAATGTGGGAATGGGTTATTAGATGATGGTGAAGAGGTTTGTTTTAAATTTCAATAATAAAACACAAGTAATTGATAATGTAGTGTGATGGTGGGAAAGGGTGTTA